GTAAGCAGCATTTCACATGTGAAAAATCGGCGTTCAACGTTTCTCGGCTTCAGTTCATATGTAACCCAATTCCCTTGCTTTTGAATCATTCCCAATGATTTCAAACGATATGAAATTGTTTGTTGAGTCACTCCTAATGTAAGTGCAAGTTCTTTTTGCGTTTGGCACGAATCTTCATCCAATAATGCTTCCAATTCCGCGTCTTCGTACACTTTCGGCCTTCCGCTACGTTCTTTTGTCTTCGACGTCAAATTCACCGTTCTTAAACTTTTGAAATCACTCATGATAACTTCTCTCACTTAAGGCAGCATCACCATATGCTTTTACAATCTATGAGCCTCAGCTGTAGATTTCTTCAAATTAAAGAAGTAAATCAAAAGTTCTCGCAAATGACGCTTATTCGGCTCAAAACTCGACATTTTCGTACAAAAAAAAATATATGATGTTGATACAAAATCGCTAATATTTCAAGATTATGGTGTTGCCGGATATTCAATCTTACGATATGTCGTTTTCATCAAACAATTTTAACTATAGTTTATTAGTGGCGCCGTTTTTTGCAAATGGCGGAAACTTATTTGTACTCCCAATAATTTCATACAGAGTAATGTAAACATACAATTCTTGTTAATGTTTAAAGATATAATATCCTCACATACGTTTTTTGATGCGTTGACTGCGACGGTAACTATTCACTGAGTAGTTGATATAGAGAGTGATTTAGAGTTCTTTTTCGTTCATGCGTTTTCTATTTCATTATTTTTATATATCATTTATTTTTTTATTTTTTTTATTAGTTTATTTTTTTCTTTCAGATAGTATATTCAATGTGGAATTTTACATGTCTTTATATATGCGAGTTAATTTTTAGTATATTGCCATCAAGCCTACATTAAATTATGCATTGACACATATACAAGAATGCATTTTGATAATATCGAATCTTTTTTTATATCTAAAGGATCAGCGTCAGTGACAATAAAGTCTATCTATTCTCATTCTCTTTTCGAAAATAAGTTTAGGCAGTGTATTCAATGTGAAATTTTACGTATCTTTATAAATATAGTGTTAGTTTTTCAGAGTAATGTTATAACGAATAATATGTTTGTATACAAACGTATACTACCGGTATCTAAGTACTAATTGCAAAGAATTCGTTCCTCGCATATCTTTAAAAACGTTATGATATCTTTTTAAAGGTATAAAAGACCAGCATTATTGGTCAACTGATTCCTTAGATAAAAATAAATACTTTATTTCTTTGAACAGTCTATATTTATTACTACAATATCAAATTCTTAATAATCATTTATTGTTATAACAGGATTGATTAAATTGCAATATGATTCTGTCATTATTGTGATCAATCATAAACTTTCTACTGATACAACAGTAAATTCATGATGTTAACTATACCGTTTCTAATATATTTCAATTATACATTATTAATTTAGTCCCTCTTTTTATTTTTTTATTTTTTGTTTTACATGTATCTAATTTTTAATTAAAAATTTAATTACCTTAATTACAGGAAATATTAATTTTATTATAAAAGATTTTTGTTTCTGATTTGACATGCTTATAAATAAACTTTAACAAGAAATATGTATGTATAAATTATACCGCGTGCATCCCAAAAAACTGTGGCCATCACCTTTCCGATCAACTTTACGGTCTTCGCCTTTTTCGGAGCTGGTTCACCCGGTGAAGTCCATTGTTTTGAGTCCACTGTTCCTTCTCGGGTGTGAAGTAATGGATCCATGTTTCGTCCACAGTAATGAATGAGATTTATCTGGATTATGTTGAAATATCTCCAAACATTATTTTGAAATAATCACACGCGGTCGCGCTTATGGTTCACAGTGGGCAAATGCGGCACCCATTTTATCGATAGCTTTTTCATACTCAATTGTTCGTGCAAAATTGAAATCATTGTGCCATATGATATATGCCCGTGGCCTCAACAAGCTCGCGATTTTCACTCGTCGATCAGTTAAAACAATATCGTAGATTTCATCGATGATTTCTGGCGTATCAGCCTCAATTGGACGTCCCGAACAAGGTGCATCATATGAATATACTACTTTTAAATTCATTCATCCAATTGTATACAGTCGCAAATGTTGATGCAGATATGCTATGAACATTATCCAATTCGGCTTTGATTTCTTTCGACGTTAAATCTTTCATATGTAGATGTTTGATCACTGCACAAAACTCGTTTTTTTCCATTTTTGCAAAAAATACAAAGATTATTTACTTTAATAATCTACAGAAATGAAACCACGCGATGAATTCCGCTCAAAATTTGACAGTAATCAGCGGAGAGATGCTACTTGTCAAAAAGTAAGTAACATGACATACTGCGAATGCTCTCTGACAGATTTTCTAAAAATTTATTGACTTGCCCTCATACTTTAACTTTCATGTTTCTTGATTATTATGTTAACATCGAATCAACATTAAATTACCTAACTTTCAATTATTATCGAGAACAGTCTCTGCTCAGACCTACGGACTCATTTCGTTATCTCTAAATATAACAATTGTAATCCTAATTTGAATTTGTCGGGACGTGTCACTTGTCCATGCTCCCCTAGCTCAGCATTCTCATACGGGACGTATTCCAAAATCATACTATGCGTGTGTACGTATTGATTCAATCGATCCCTTTCTTTGTTTTTTATTATGTAGTGTCATGCACAACTTCCGTCTACGATATAACAATAAACTTTGTTACAACAGTTTTTTTTATTTTATTTCTTAGATTTATTACACACAAACACGGTTCATGAATATCTTACATTGTGTTACAATTGAATATGATTGTTAGTTTATAATAATTTTATATTAACAAAATCCGCGCAATGTACACAACATTTTTAACAAACAACATTGACGCCTTGTGGCTTTTGAATATTATTAATTTTTATTTAATTGTAAATCATCAGAGAGTGAGCAATAAAAATTGAGATATAATGTTGGAATGTCAGAAACACTTCACGTGAGCAATTTTATAAAAAAAAGAACTGTAAATAAATCTCACTCTTTATTTCTTACCTTTTATCAGCATTAATTGAACCAAATATTTGAATATATATATCGAGATTATATATATCGAATATATTTTTATGATATATTAATGATAATAATTATGTAATAATATATCTTTTTAATAATAATAAATTTTTTGAAATATAATTTTTTAAACGTTCCAAAAAATCAAGGGAAGAATGACAGCATTTGGAATAATTCGTGCATAAAGAAATTAGAGTGGAATAGGCCTATTGGAGGAAACCACTATAAAAAAAAGCGCTATCTACCTGACAGTGGTGTGGAAATGATAGCATTTTATTATTTTCTAGGGATAGACATTTACTTACAAGTAGCTTCATAATAAACCTTACCTCTATCTATCATAAATATTTTTAAAAATAATAATTTTTTTAAAAAGTTCTGAAAATTACTACCAACAGAGTTTGAAGATGAAATCAAGCTTCATGTATGAAACGATTTTCAGCTTTCTCCGCTATATAGCTTTTTCCGTTATATCTCGAAAACTATTTGAAATGTAAAAAAATGTTTTACACAAAAATTTTAGAATAAAATTACCTCTATTTATTCACGTCAATGATATTTTATTAATTATTTAACAATTTTTTTCAAAAATTTTGATAAAAAATTGGTAAATAATTGTTCTAAAAACGCGAATGAATACAGCTAATTTTGTTGTAAAACTTTTGTATAAAACATTTTTTTATATCTCAAATAGTTTTTATATCTTAAATAGTTTTCGAGATATAACGGAAAAAGCTAAAAACCGCTGTATACATAAGGGGTGATTTCACCCCTTCAGACCATTTTTTAGCCGCATCTAATATTTTCTAAATTCATCTCTTTATGTAAACTACAAGTTCACAAAGTTTCATCAAAATCAGAATTTGACACCTCGAGAGATTCCCTTGTTAGCTTTAAGAGATCGTGCCACACATATAATTTCCAAACTGGTGCACTCTGATGAACATAACATTATGTTGACATAACATAAAGTTGCTATAATAAATGAAATATTACCATGATTACAAAAATATCTAACTAATTAATGTAACACAATATTTATAATAGTACAATAGTTATACTTCCATTTATTTTCATCTTGTTTTCTCCAATTCGAAGCTAATTAATAACAAATAAAACAAGAAAAGGGATAGATATATATATA